TGGAAACTTCGCACTGGACTTCAAGCATCTTGCAGTGTGTGCCTCTCCATTCTTCCTCCATACTCTGATGCAAAAGTTGCTCTCATCAGAAATGAGGACTTTGGACCACTGAGCAACAGACCAGGTCTGTTTTTCTTTAGCCCAGGTAAGACGCTTGTGACGTTGTTTGTTGTTCAAGAGGAATACAACATTTGAAGCCCATGTCCAAGATCCGTCTGTGTGTGGTGGCTCTTGATGCACTGACTCCAGCCTTAGTCCACTCCTTGTGAAAGTCCAACACTTTTGAATGGCCTTTTCCTAACAATCCTCTCCAGGCTGCGGTCATCCCTGCTTCTTGTGCACCTTTTTCCTCCACACTTTTCCCTTCCACATAACTTTCTATTAATGTGCTTTGATACAGCACTTTGAGAACATCCAACTTCTTTTGCAATTACATTTTGAGGTTTTCCCTCCTTATGGAGGGTGTCAGTGATGGTTTTCTGCACAACTGTCAGGTCAGCAGTCTTTCGCCCATGATTGTGATTCCTATTGAACCAGACTGAGAAACCATTTAAAGGCTCAGGAACCCTTTGCAGGTGTTATGACTTAATTAGCTGATTAGATTGGGACACTTTGAGCCGAGAATATTGCACCTTTTCACAATATTCTAATTTTCTGAGATTGTGGATTTGGGGTTTTCATGAGCTGTAAGCCATAATCATCACAATTCTGACAAATCACAGCTTGAACTATCTTGCTTTGCATGTAATGAGTCTATCTCATATATTAGTTTCATCTTTTAAGTTGCATTACTGAAATAAATGAACATTTGCACGATATTCTAATTTTTCGAGTTTCACCTGTAAGTACCTGAAATAAAAATAAATACAAAAATTGAATAAAGATTTATCACTTTTGCTACAGTATTCTGACTGATAAGTAAACCTTTGCTGATCTTCTTATAGCCTTCACCTGTCTTGTGTAAAGAAATGCATTTCTTTCTCAGACCTTGTGACATTTCTCTTCCATGTGGTACCATTGTTGACAGCATGAAATGGGAAGGTGTTTTCCTTGTTAAGTAACGCCCTTTTATAATCAGCTGTCTGCTGGACACCTGTTTAAGGAATAATTAGATTAACCTGTAGTTGAATTCTTGTTAATTAGGAATTTGTTGTCTAAAATTTAGGTTTGCTTTTAAGACTTTCAATGGGGTGTATTCAATTATGTAACATGGTCTTGGATGATTTTGTTAGGAAAAATATATTTTTTTTATGTGTACACATTAACAAATTTTGTTTGCAATCAATGTCCCGCATTTGTGGGAGTATTTTGTAGTATAGTGTCCCATAGATAATGTGGATTCTGAAAGGAAAGGTTTCCTGACAAATCTGTTGGGGTATACTCATTTATGCGGAGCACTGTAATATATATATATATATAATAATATAATATACACACACACACACCTCACAGAAGTGAGTACACCTGTCACATTTTTGTAAATATTTTATTATATCTTTTCATGTTACAACACTGAAGAAATTACACTTTGCTACAACGTAAAGTAGTGAGTGTACAGCTTGTATAACAGTGTATAACTGCCTTAACCCTCTTGGGCATGGAGTTCACCAGAGCTCCACAGGTTGCCACTGGAGTCCTTCCACTCCTCCATGATGTCATCACAGTGCTGGTGGATGTTAAAGACCTTACGCTCCTCCACCTTCTGATTGAGGATGCCCCACATATGCTCAATAGGGTTTAGGTCTGGAGACATGCTTGGCCAGTCCATCACCTTTACCCTCAGCTTCTTTAGCAAGGCAGTGGTAGTCTTGGAGGTGCGTTTGGGGTCGTTATGTTGGAATACTGCCCTGCGGCCCAGTCTCCAAAGAGAGAGGATCATGCTCTGCTTTAGTATGTCACAGTACATGTTGGTATTCATGGTTCCCTCAATGAACTGTAGCTCCCCAGTGCCAGCAGCACTCATGCAGCCCCAGACCATGACACTCCCACCACCATGCTTGACTGTAGGCAAGACATACTTGTCTTTGTACTCCTCACCTAGTTGCCACCACATACGCATGACACCATCTGAACCAAATAAGTTTATCTTGGCTACAAATATATGTTGCGCTCCTAAATAAATACTTTTCAATGAATAATAATTAAATTATTACCATTAAATTAATTCAAATTATGATGATAAATAACTAATAAAAGTGTATAAATACCAAAAAATATTTAAATAAATAATTTCAACTAATCAATCTCCTCCAAATAAATATCAAAATAATTCCACATGAAATACTCCTCTAAAAATATTTTACCAAGTGCTCATAAATCATCTATTAGTGACATGATGTACTTACTAATACCCTCAATTTAATTTATATTCATAATACCCTCATTTAATATAATAAAAATAGTAAACCAACTAATAACACTCAACTAAAACGCATTTAAATGATCCCCCATAAATAAAAATAACCAAATGCTCATAAATAATTAGTAGTGATTAGTGTGAATCCAAATATCATCAAAATAATAGTCCCATTGAATAAACAATTGTTTATATATAGTGACTTGGTGCTTGTTCTTCTTCAATTTGTGACTTTTGTGAATCCTTCAAATAGTGAAGATGTGCGCTCACCTCCTTTGATGCCTGCAATTAGGCTATACACGCTTTTGTTTCACTTTCCCTGGAACCTGCTGGACATATACTTTTGCTGGTAAAATTGGGAGATCCTTCCTTTAGGAGTAATGGATATATCCTCTGGTGGCTGATTATCCCCTCAGGGATTGCACACTCCTTTTGTTATCTCAGACCTCCTGATTATCCTCTCCTTGTGTTACTCCGCATGCAGGAAGAAATAGAGGACATAGTGCTTTACCTTTTAAAACTTTTTTATTCCCACCATCCAAGTATTAAACTCACATTAGACAGGTTTAAATAACGCAATATCCCATTGGAAATCCTCTGCTGGCCTCTGAGTCATACACCTGCCGTCTATCGTGTTGTGCGGCTCCTCTCCAAGTGATGATGTAGCCCCTCCCTACGCGTTACGCCTCCAATCACGTGGCTTCATCAGGGGGTTGTGATAGGTCAATCACTCATCCATTGCCAGCTTATATATATCCCGTCCTCCATTTTCCCATAGATGTACTGGAGGCGGCCATGTTTTTGGGGTCAATTGGAAGCACAAACTCTCCTTCCTTTTGACACATTTGTTTCAATTACTACGCTACTATCTCGGAAAGATACTTTGCATATGACTCATCGGACTGCCTGGATTTAAACAACCTCTTCTTTTACTATGCATTACAATCTTTTTAATAATACATATAACGATTTAAAATAAGTGTTCCAATTAAAAAAATGGCATAAACAAATGATACCATTAAACAAATAATAATTATATAAAATCAACAAATAATTTAATTAAAAGTAATAATAAAAAAAAAATAAAAAAAATAAAAATTAAAAAAATATAGATTTAAAAAAAAAAAAAAAAATCTAAAATTTTTTTTTTTTCCTTTTCTCTCTCTCTTTCTCCCTTCCTTTTTATTAAAATAAACATTTTAAATGGTGCAGAAAGAATCCCTCACACTCAATATACAGTCTGCTCCTGTTTTAAATTCATACCGAATGTAAAAAGTACTCTCACCCACTCTCATGTTCCACATACTTAAAACCAAAAAATATATCATCCTATCATATATGTACGTATTATCCAAACCTAAATGTCACTGATAAAGCAGGATAAATCAAAATCCTTGTTCAAACCATCTGGTGCTAAACTTCCTAACTCATAAATCCAAAATTATTCTTTTTTTACTTATTTCACGGACTAAATTGTCACCTCTCCAGTGTGGATTGTGTTTGACTAAACCCCAAAATTCTATTTTCTCTACTTCTTGATGGTGATTTAAAATGTAGCGGTAAATGATGGTATTTATAGCCTATACTAATATTGTGTATGTGTTCTTTCATACGCTTTTTAAGACTCCTCTTAGTGCGTCCTATATATAATCGATTACACGGACATTTTAAGGCGTATACTACGCCTTTAGTACTACACGTAATAAATTGGTCTATTTCATACTGTTTACCATTTAAGGGATTAATAAATGTATTTCTACATCTTGGGTTTGCATGAGTTCTTTCTACAGCTATAACAATGACCACATCTGTAAAATCCTGTCCCATTGAAGAAACTTAGAGTATTTGTGAGTGGCCTTGGGGGTTCTAATACATTTTTTTACAATCTGATCTCTAATATTTGGTGCCTTTTTAAAAATGAACCTAGGTTTATCTTTAATGATAGTTCTCAAAACTTTATCCAATTTCAATATACCCCAATGCTTAGTTATAATTTTTTGTAAGTCTCTGTATTTTCTATTGTAGGGTAATATCATGACTATCTCCTGTTCTCCTACTTTTTGTTGTTTCTTTAAAAAAAAAAAAAAAAAAAAAGGGACTATTATTTTGATGATATCTGGATTCATACTAATCACTACTAATTATTTATGAGCATTTGTTTATTTTTATTTATGGGGGATCATTTAAATGCGTTTTAGTTGAGGGTTATTAGTTGGTTTATTATTTTTATTATATTAAATGATGGTATTATGAATATAAATGAAATTGAGGGTATTAGTAAGTACATCATGTCACTAATAGATGATTTATGAGCACTTGGTAAAATATTTTTTAGAGGAGTATTTCATGTGGAATTATTTTGATATTTATTTGGAGGAGATTGATTAGTTGAAATTATTTATTTAAATATTTTTTGGTATTTATACACTTTTATTAGTTATTTGTATCATAATTTGAATTAATTTAATGGTAATAATTTAATTAGTATTCATTGAGAAGTATTTAGGAGCCCAACATATATTTGTAGATATTTCCAACACAGTTGTAGTTATGTGTTTCATGTTTGCGATCCTCTAGTAATTATCACACCTGTGGCTCGCAAGTCACTCTGATTCATCTATACAAGTTTATCTTGGCCTCATCAGTTCCAGTAATCCATGTCCTTAGTCTGCTTGTCTTCAAACTGTTTGCGGGTTTTCTTGTGCATCTTTAGAAGAGGCTTCCTTCTGGGACGACCAATTTGATGCAATGTGCGGCGTATGGCCTGAGCACTGACAGGCTGATCCCCCACCCCTTCAACCTCTGCAGCAATGCTGGCAGCACTCATGCGTCTATTTCCCAAATACAACCTCTGGATATGACGCTGAGCACGGGTACTCAACTTCTTTGGTCGAGCATGATGAGGTGTCAGGAATCTAGAAATGACCAGAAAGGTGTGGACTGACACAGGGAAACGCAGGTTTCAGGTATAGTATAATAATACAGTTTATTATTAGCCACCCAGATATATATATATATATATATATATATATATATATATATAAACGCACAGTGAACAAACCAACCTTCCACTAATCTTAGTAGGTGCAAGAACACAGGCGTAGTCAGGGCTGAAGAGGTGGAACGGTCAGGCCGGCCGTAGGGTTCTGTAATGACCGTTTGGTGGTACCTCTAGTGGTCCCCAGGACAGGATTCCCCAGGGCGCGGAGTCTAAGTCCCAGTCTGCTTATTCACCAGGGCCCCTGATGGTGGGGATGGACTTGGAGCAGACAGGAACCAGGTCGCGGCCCCTGAGTACACCTGCTAGTGGTAGAGGGATCCGCCAGAGGTATGTGCAGGTACGGCTGGATCCATGCAGGATGGATGGATGGCAGAGTAGTTAGCGTGGTCAGACGGGCCAAGTCAGCAATGTGCGGGCAGCAAGGTACCAAAGGAGCAGGCCGAGAATGGTCAAGGTCACAAGCCGGGTTCAGTAACTCACAGGCAGCGCGGTACAGGGGATCAGGCAGAAGGATGGTCAGGCAAGTCAGGGGTTCAACAGGAGACGGTCAGCAGAGGTCAGGATCAAGCCGGGTCAGCAACGAAGCAGGAACACAAGATACCAGGTACAGAGGCTCATGGGAAAACATACACCAAGGCCCAGATCATAGGCCTGGTCATGCCTTAAATACACCTTTCTGCAATCAGCCCCAGGTTTGGCTGATTGCACGTGTGAGCTTCTGGCTGCTGAGAGCACCCGCTGGTCAGCTCTGGTACTGCAGCCCACACGGCAGATGAGTCCCACCACCAGTGCTGAGTCCATTCCTGACAGTACCCCCCCCCTCAAGGAGCGGCCTCAGGACGCTCCAGACAGTCCTTAGTGGGCAAAATGTTCCACCGCCCGGGTCAGGTAACTGGCTGAATATCCAACTGCCGGAGAAAACCGGCTGGCTGGGTTTCCTGCTGGTAGACTTCTGTGTGTAGGAGAACCCAGGAAGGCAGGTCACTGGGCACAGGATTTCCAGGAGCAGGCTGGGAATCAGTTATTGGCCAGTTTAGCTGGACATCAGGGGCTGGCATGTCGGGCTGTGCAGCGGGCAGAGGCACGTCAGCGGGCACAGAGTCATCTGGCACGACAGCGGGCACCGAGCCATCTAGCAGAACCGCGGGCATAGAGTCACCTGGCAAGTCAGCGGGCACCGAGTCACCGGGCATGTCAGTGGGCACCGAGCCATCTAGAAGAACCGCGGGCACAGAGTCACCTGGCAAGTCAGCGGTCACCGAATCACCGGGCATGTCAGCGGGCACCGAGCCATCTAGCAGACCGCGGGCACAGAGTCACCTGGCAAGTCAGCGGGCACCGAGTCACGGGCATGTCAGCGGGCACCGAGCCATCTAGCAGAACCGCGGGTACCGGGTCACCAAGCTCGACAGCAGGCACCAAATTAACTGGCACAACAGTGGGCACTGAATCAACTGGCACGACAGCGGGCACCAAGTCATCAGGCATCAGGTCATGTGGCTCAACAGCGGGCACTGGGTCCTCAGGCATCAGGTCATCTGGCTCGACAGCGGGCACCGAGTCAACTGGCACGACAGCGGGCACCGAGTCATCAGGCATCAAGTCATCCGGCTCAACAGCGGGCACCGAGTCAACTGGCACGTCAGTGGGCACCGAGTCAACTGGCACCGAGTCAACTGGTACGACAGCGGGCACCAAGTCAACTGGCACGACAGCGGGCATCAACTCATCAGGCATCAAGTCATCTGGCTCGACAGTGGGCACCGAGTCAATTGGCACCGAGTCAACTGGTACGACAGCGGGCACCAAATCAACTGGCACGACAGCGGGCACCGAATCATCAGGCATCAAGTCATCAGGCGCGACAGCGGGCACCGAGTCAACTGGCACCGAGTCAACTGGCACAACAGCGGGCACCGAATCATCAGGCATCAAGTCATCTGGCTCGACAGCGGGCACCGAGTCAGCTGGCACCGAGTCAACTGGCACTACAGCGGGCACCGAGTCAACTGGCACGACAGTGGGCACCGAGTCAACTGGCACGACAGTGGGCACCGAGTCAACTGGCACGACAGCGGGCACCGAGTCAACTGGCACGACAGCGGGCACCGAATCATCAGGCATCAAGTCATCTGGCTCGACAGCGGGCACCGAGTCAACTGGCATCGAGTCGACTGGCACGATGGTACAGCGAGTGGGAGCAGGGGACTGACGTGGTAGATAGCAGGGTATACTGGGCTGTCACTGGGGGTGCTGTCAGGAATGCAGGAAAAGAGCTTTGAACAGAGGAATGATGAGAAGCAGGACTGGTTTGTTGCAAGCTGACTGAGGCTAGCTGTAACAAGTCTGACCATGTCTGCAGTAAGGGTTGGACAACGCTCAGTTTACACAAGGCCTGTCTGGTCAAAGATTGCACTGCGTTTATACACTTCTTTAGCACATGTGGTGAACATGCCGAATAATGCTCCAAGAAGCAATCCGGATCATGCTCCAACAACCATACCAGTGATATTATTTGACTCACCCTGAATGGAGGAAGGAATTCATCCCTGCTTTCAGGGGTACTAGATGAAGCCAACTCAACACAAGCCTGAATCAATGGTTGCACCTCAGAGAGCTCTAGGACCTGACCTACTAGGGAATGAGCGACCCATATGCACTCTAGCAGCTGATCCCTGGTATACTCCCGCAGAGTCTGATAGGCATATTCTCTGTCATCAAAGACTAGCATAGACAAATATATAACCTCATCAGGATGCATCCTTCACAACAAGTCAAGATGGCTTCCCTGTGCAGCCACTTCTGGTCAGGAATGGCCTTGGTGTGATGTCAGGAATCTAGGAATGACCAGAAAGGTGTGGACTGACACAGGGAAACGCAGGTTTCAGGCATAGTATAATAATACAGTTTATTATTAGCCACCCAGATATATATATATAAACGCACAGTGAACAAACCAACCTTCCACTAATCTTAGTAGGTGCAGGAACACAAGCGTAGTTAGGGCTGGAGAGGTGGAACGGTCAGGCCGGCCGTAGGGTTCTGTAATGACCGTTTGGTGGTACCTCTAGTGGTCCCCAGGACAGGATTCCCCAGGGCGCGGAGTCTAAGTCCCAGTCTGCTTATTCACCAGGGCCCCTGATGATGTGGGGGATGGACGTGGAGCAGACAGGAACCAGGTCGCGGCCCCTGAGTACACCTGCTAGTGGTAGAGGGATCCGCCAGAGGTATGTGCAGGTACGGCTGGATCCGTGCAGGATGGATGGATGGCAGAGTAGTTAGCGTGGTCAGACGGGCCAAGTCAGCAACGTGCGGGCAGCAAGGTACCAAAGGAGCAGGCAGAGAATGGTCAAGGTCACAAGCCAGGTTCAGTAACTCACGGGCAGCGCGGTACAGGGGATCAGGCAGAAGGATGGTCAGGCAAGCCAGGGGTTCAACAGGAGACGGTCAGCAGAGGTCAGGATCAAGCCGAGTCAGCAACGAAGCAGGAACACAAGATACCAGGTACAGAGGCTCATGGGAAAACATACACCAAGGCCCAGATCATAGGCCTGGTCATGCCTTAAATACACCTTTCTGCAATCAGCCCCAGGTTTGGCTGATTGCACGTGTGAGCTTCTGACTGCTGAGAGCACCCGCTGGTCAGCTCTAGTACTGCAGCCCACACGGCAGATGAGTCCCACCACCAGTGCTGAGTCCATTCCTGACACGAGGACTATTCTGAGTGTCCTGTTAAACTGCTGTATGGTCTTGGCCACCGTGTCTGCACTCAGTTTCAGGGTCTTCTTATAGCCTAGGCCATCATTATGTAGAGCAACAATTCTTTACTTCAGATCCTCAGAGAGTTGCAATGAGGTGCCATATTGAACTTCCAGTGACAGTATGAGAGCAATAACACCAAATTTAACACACCTGCTCCCCATTCACACCTGAGACCTTGTAACACTAACGAGTCACAACACCGGGGAGGGAAAATGGCTAATTGGGCCCAATTTTGGACATTTTCACTTAGGGGTGTACTGTTGCCAGTGGTTTAGACATTAATGGCTGTGTGTTGAGTTATTTTGAGGGGACAGCAAATTTACACTGTTATACAAGCTGTACACTCACTACTTTACATTGCAGCAAAGTGTCATTTCTTCAGTGTTGTCACATGAAAAGATAGAATCAAATATTTACAATAAAAATATTTACAAAAATGTGAGGGGTGTACTCACATACACACACACGTTATTTAGTTTTGAATAGAGCAGTGAAGGTTTTCTTTTTTCTTCCCATCTTTCCTTTGTCCTCTTGCAAAGGAAATTAATTGAAGCAAAGTGATATTAAAGGCAATTAAAAAAAATTATGAAACAAACAAGCCTTACTTACCTGCTCTCTGCAGTTGTTTTGCACGGAACAGCCCAGGGTACCCCCCGCCAGCACTCCTGGCCCCTCCCTCCTGCCAAGTGCCCCCACACTAAGCAGTTTACTATGGGAGCACCTGTACAGGCTTTCTCTTGAGCCCCTGCTCTGCGTGTCCATTTACACACTCGCTGGCTTGCAAAGTTAGCGACCTCTAACAGTCAAGATAAGAAAAATAATATACACTATATTGTCAAAAGTATTGGTCGGCCTGCCTTTACATGCATGTGAACTTTAATGGCATCCCAGTCTTAGTCCGTGGGGTTCAATATTGAGTTAGCCCACCCTTCGCAGCTATAATATCTTCAACTCTTCTGCGAAGGCTGTGCACAAGGTTTAGGAGTGTGTCTATGGGAATGTTTAACCATTCTTCCAGAAGTGCGTTTGTGAGGTCAGGAACTGATGTCAGATGAGAGGACCTGGCTTGCAGTGTCATCACAAAAGTGTTCCTTCGTGTTGAGGTCAGGTCTCTGTGGAGGCCAGTAAATTCCTCCACCCCAAACTCGCTCATCCATGCCTTTATGGACTTTGCTTTGTGCACTGGTGAGCAGTTATGTTGGAACAGGAAGGGGCCATCCCCAAACTATTCCCACAAAATTGGGAGCATGAAATTGTGCAATATGCCTTGGTATGCCTTGTGCAATATGCCAACCCCTGAAGAACAACCCCACAACATTATCCCTTCGCCAGCAAACTTTACACAATGCAGTCAGGCAAGTACTCCTGGCAACTGCCAAACCCAGACACATCCATCGGATTTCCAGACAGAGAAGTGTGATTGTTCACTCCAGACGACACATCTACACTGCTCTAGAGTCTAGCTTAACACCACTGCATCTGATGCTTTGCATTGCACTTGGTGATGTAAGGCTTGGATGCAGCTGCTCGGCCACGGAAACTTATTCCATGAAGCTCTCTATGCACTGTTGTTGTGCTAATCTGAGGGCCACATGAAGTTTGGAGGTCTTTAGCTATTGACTCTGCAGACAGCTGGCAAATTCTACACACTGTGTGCTTCAGCATGTGCTGACCCCGCTCTGTCACTTCATGTGGCCTACCACTTGGTGGCTGAGTTTCTGTTGTTCCCAGTTGCTTCCACTTTGTTATAATACCACTAACAGCAAGGAAATTTCACAGATGGACTTATTGTACCGATGGCAACCTCTCACGTTACCAAGCATGAATTCACTGAGTTCCTGAGAGTGATCCATTCTTTCACAAATGTTTGTAGAAGCAATCTGCGTGCCTGGGTGCTTGATTATATTCACCTGTGGCCATGGACATGATTGGAACACCCCAATCCAATGATTTGGAGGGCTGGCCCAATAATTTTGGCAATATAGTGTAGGAGTGACAAGTTTAATAATGGAAACTCTATAGTTGGATAGTGATTTATGAATGGGTAGTAATTCAATTGTTAACTAGATATTATGTAATTCTGGATCACAATGTATTCCAGAAGAACACTTTGTTAACCAATTTCAGACATGAGTTCAACTTGAGGACGGACTGGTATAAGCCAGAGACTGCAGTGCATGGCAAAACACTGTACACATATTACCATGTTGTGATGCAAATCATTGTTAATGTTAATGATTTTGGCAACCAAAACACAAATGCAAAGCACTGACGTTGACAACAACATCTCAAACCATGCAGATCTTATTACGAATGTTCATATAAAAACATCTGGGTAGCAGTGACCAGAACATGATTTCATTTATGGTTAGCTATAAACAGCAAGTACATACGGGAAAAAAATGCTCAATTTTAAAAGAGCTAATTTTCAAGGCCAAGAGTTGGGAGGGAATATTGGCACTGATGAACATAACACAGAAATGGGAGTTCTTTAAAAACACTGTATGTGAACACACTGCAAAATATATTCCCATGGGCAACAAGTTTAAAAGGCTAAAAATCAAACCTATGTGGCTTACGGCCAAAGTTAAAAAAGCTATAGATAATAAGAAAAGAGCTTTTATTAAATGTAAAAATGTGCAAAAAGGAAATAAAGGCCGCAAAAAATTGAAAACGAACGACAGATTACAATAGATAGCAGGACCAACCCCAAAAAATTCTTTAAGTATATTAATAGTAAAAAGATCCGGTCCGAGCATGTAGGCCCTTTACAAAATAATCTAGAGTGGGTGACTGAGGACAAAGAGAATGCAAATTTATTAAATACCTTCTTCAGCTCTGTGTATACAAAGGAGCATGGGGAAGCTCTTGTTCATAATGGGCATGGTATTGACACAGCTCCAGATGATCCACATTGGCTCACAATTGATATGATCCAAAAATATTTAGACAGAATAAAGGTGAATAAAGCACCTGGACCAGATGGCATACACCCACGGGTACTTAAAGAATTGAGCTCTGACATTTCAAAGCCATTGTTTCTAATTTTTAGGGACTTTTTAATGACTGGCATAGTACCACTAGATTGGCGTAAGGCCAATGTGGTGCCAATATTTAAAAAGGGGTCAAAATTTTTACCAAGTAATTACAGACCTGTTAGTTTAACTTCTATAGTTGGGAAGATACTGGAGAGTTTAATAAAAGACCACATAGATGAGTTCTTGCTGGAAAAAAATATTTTAAGCAACAGACAGCATGGATTCATGAAAGACAGAAGATGTCAAACAAATTTGATTTCTTTTTATGAGGTGGCGAGCAAAACCTTGGACAGGAGGGGTGGCGGTGGACGTGGTATAGCCAACTTGGATTTTGCAAAAGCGTTTGACACAGTTCCCCACACACGGCTAATGTGTAAGGTAAAGTCTATGGGCTTGGAAAAATTGGTATGTAAATGGATAAGAGATCATATTCAGAGAGTAGTAATTAATGATTCATACTCTGAATGGTCTAGGGTTGTCAGTGGTGTACCACAAGGTTCAATGTTGGGACCCTTACTTTTTAATATATTTATAAATGATATAGGGTCTGGGATTAAAAATACTATTTCAGTCTTTGCAGATGACACCAAGCTGTGCAGTGGAATAACGTCCTTACAGGATGTCTCCAATTTACAAGCCGACCTCAATGCACAGTTTAATTGGGCAACTATGTGGCAAATGAGGTTTAATGTTGATAAATGTAAGGTTATGCATGTGGGGGGCTAAGAATATGCATGCATCATACATACTAGGGGGGTACAACTGGGGGAATCAATGGTGGAGAAGGATCTGGGGGTTCTGGTAGATCACAAGCTTAATAATGGCATGCAATACCAAGCTGCATTTCTAAAGCGAGCAAAATCCACTCTTGTATTAAAAGAGGTATAGACTCCAGAGAGAGATATCATATTACCCCGGTACAAATCATTAGTAAGACCTCATCTGGAATATGCAGTTCAGTTTTGGGCACCAATTCACAAAAAGAATATTGGGGAACTGGAGAAAGTACAGAGAAGGTCAACCAAACTGATAAGAGGCATGGAGGAGCTCAGCTATGAGGAAAGATCAGAGGAACTGAATTTATTCTCTCTTGAGAAGAGGAGATTAAGGGGGGATATGATCAACATGTATAAATACATCAGTGGTTCATTTAATGAACTCGGTGTAGAGTTATTCACCCTGAGGCCATCATAGAGGACAAGGGGGCATTCTGTATGTCTGGAGGAAAGAAAATTTAATCTCCAAACATGGAAAGGTTTCTTCACAGTGAGAACTGTGAAAATGTGGAATAGACTCCCTGGCCAGCTCAGTGGATTGCTTTAAAAAGGCCTGGATTCTTTCTTGGATACACAGAATATAACTGGATACTAACATTTATAGGTAAAGTTGATCCAGGGAATATCCGATTGCCTCTCGGGGGATCAGGAAGGATTTTTTTTCCCTGCAAGAGCAAATTGGATCATGCTTTGCTGGTTTTTTTTCCTTCCTCTGGACCAACTGTGGATATAGTATTATAACATTTTTTTTTTAATGGTTGAACTGGATGGACTTTTGTCTTTTTTTCAGCCAGACTAACTATGTAACATGAGTTGTGGTGAGTTGTGCTGAAAAAAAATGCTTCTTGAATGGGCTGCCTCAACTAGGTGTACACTAGGTGTTAATGCCACGGACCAGAGATGATAGGTCTGAAAGGGTCCTAATGCAATGAGAAAGTTAGAAAGTATAGGCTCTCATCCCCCTTCTGCTCTCTCCCCTCCCTATTCTACATTTTTTCCTTTTTCCCCACTGCCCCTCAAACCCCTCGTGTATTGAATTGTATTGATACTGTACTGTCTCGTGTACTGTCTCCCATTATTATGTACAGCGCTGAGCAAACTGTTGGCGCTATATAAATTGTGTATTAAATAAAAAAAATACCCTTTTCTTCCTCCCTATCTTTTTTCTCATATTTGATTTGCAAGATCTCTTGGATATTATGATCTGCTATAACCGTATGGTTGTATTACTTTTGAAGTGACATGTGACTGCCCAATAATGTTTGATTTGCTTCTTCTCTGTGCTACATGTGTAACATGGCACTACGTTTAATAAAATTTCATTTGTTAAAAAAAAAAAAAAGTTTAGGCTCTATTCACACTGTTTTTTCGTGTGTTGATGCCCTATGTTTAAAGGCATTCTATTCACTTGGAATGGCCCATTAAAATGTATGTGAGCTGTAATTTACATAGTTTGGGGTTAGTTTCCTTTGTCCCCAGCAGTGCACTTAGTAAGCTTTTTTTAAAAAAGAAATTTTTAATGCTTTTTTTTTTTAAATAAAAGTGACTTACTAGGTGCATTGTTGGGGACAAAGGAAAAAATGTTATTGATCGACCCTGTACGATCATATTTTTCTGCCACAACCAATCGATTTAGGTCAATCAAAACCATCACTATCTATTGCTCATCACTCAGTCGTACCAACTTTGGGGTTGTTTTACTAAAACTGGAGAGTGCAAAATCTGGTGCAGCTGTGCATGGTAGCCAATCAGCTTCTGACTTCAGCTTGTTCAATTAAGCTTCGACAGAAAAAAAAAAAAACAAACAAACTGGAAGCTGATTGGTTTCTACACAGAGCTTTGCACTCTCCAGTTTAAGTAAACCAACCCCTTTGTCTCACTTGATCAAAGTCTGATTCAATAGTTTTGTCAAAATCGGATATTTACCATATTTTTCGCTCCATAAGATGCACTTTTTTCCCCCCAAAAAAGGGGGGCAAATGTCAGTGCGTCTTATGGAGCGAATGTAAAGCGGCCGGTCCGGTATTTCTGTCGCCACCATGTCAGAATATTGGGCCGGCCGCTTAGCTCTTCTCTCCTGCAGGACCTTACCAGTTCCTTGCTCCAGCGCTGCAGTCTTCCCGCGGTGGCTTCTGTGACAGCCGGGTGCCCCCTGCGCATGCACGAGAAGCGCCGCGCTTTGTGAATGGTCAGTGTCTTCTGGGACACATGACAGTTGTCATGTGACAGGCTTCTCGCGCATGCGCAGTGGGCACCCGGCTGTCACAGAAACCGCCACAGGAAGAAGAAGAAAGGACAACTCCGCGGAAATAGGAGCGGGTACCTGTCAAATTCAGGTACCCGCTCCCCCTCCCTCCCCAAAGGTATGCAGTCTCTGGTAATCTCCTTTACTGTCTGCAGTCTCTGGTTATCCCCGGCACTGTCCGCAGTCTCTGGTCTTCTGTACTATGTCCGCAGTCTCTGGTCATCTCCTGTACTATGTCCGTAGTCTCTGGCCATCTCCTGTACTGTGTCCGCAGTCTCTGGCCATCTCCTGTACTATGTCCGCAGTCTCTGGCCATCTCCTGTACTATGTCCGCAGTCTCTGGCCATCTCCTGTACTATGTCCGCAGTCTCTGGCCATCTCCTGTACTATGTCCGCAGTCTCTGGCCATCTCCTGTACTGTGTCCGCAGTCTCTGGCCATCTCCTGTACTATGTCCGCAGTCTCTGGCCATCTCCTGTACTATGTCCGCAGTCTCTGGTCATCTCCTGTACTCTCTGCAGGCTCTGGTCATCCCCTGTACTGTGTCTGCAGTCTCTGGTCATCTCCTGTACTGTGTCCGCAGTCTCTGGTCATCTCCTGTACTATGTCCGCAGTCTCTGGCCATCTCCTGTACTGTGTCCGCAGTCTCTGGTCATCTCCTGTACTGTGTCTGCAGTCTCTGGTCATCCCCTGTACTGTGTCTGCAGTCCATTGGTTCAGAATATTTTTTTTCTTGTTTTTCTCCTCTAAAACCTAGGTGCGTCTTATGGTCAGGTGCGTCTTATGGAGCAAAAAATACGGTATATTGTTCAGTTTTATCACATGTGGATGGCCACCATAAGTTTCAACGCAGCGCACTGTAACGAATGCACATACATTACAGTGAATTGAAAATCAGGTGGCTGGTTGCCTCTGTACATTAGATTGTTATTAAAAATCCACCACAAATCACATATACAGTGCGTTGTAGTAACGCTCGATAAAACAGAGATTTTAACACACACTCATAGGTGTGAATCCAGCCCAAAGCTGGCCATAAACCACTAGAATTTTGTTTAGATGTTCATATGGAAATTCAGAAAATTGTTCATTGGATCATTGTGGACTTGTATGAAAGCCTGAACAATTTCATTCTATTCCCTTGCCAATGTTTCCAATTATGTGTTCAGTTTCAGATTTTCCTGAACGTAAACCATATTTACATTAAGTGCTTGTTTAGACTTTAGAATTTTAGTGCCCCCAACACCTCCCCCCCTTAAGCTGCAAAAGGCAGCAGACAGGGTTGTTTATAAGTTGCAAAATGCTTTGTAAAAATGATCGCTCTTGACACATTCAAGGGGCAGCAAGGCTGCTGAACACGACCTATTCAAGTGAATAGGGAAGTGCCGCAAATGTCCCACAACCACATGCAATGCATTGGGTTGATGTGCACTGGCGCTGCAAAATGGGGTTAAAATGGGTGGTGAGGAGGAGTCACAACCCTGATCATTTTTCAGAAGCACTTTTGTTTAGACACAAGTCTAAATGTAGCCTTAGATTTTTGTTCCTTCCTGCTCCTTAGATTTTGATCATCAATATGGTTGAAAATGTTCACCAATATGACCCGACTAACTGTTAGAAAATGGAACGTTCTGAGAACAAAATTGTACAGGGCCAGCTTAAGAAACCAATATGTACCTAAATAACAGGAAATCTATTCATCCGCCTAGTTCTAGTCTAACTGCCTCGAGTCTAAATCGACACTTTTGTATATAAAATATCAAAAATATTTTGGTGTAATTGTTACCTTTCGGATGTCATGTCTTCTTCTCAAGGTTCTTTGGATCTCTGTCCTGTTCTGATTGTTCCTTTCTGGTATATATATACACACAAACACGTATATAATTCAGATTCTATTCTGCTGAAAGGAAACTGAAAGTAAAGCTGGAATTAATACCGCCAGCCCATGAAATTCTTCTGTGAGCTGGGCGTGCTCCAACGCTCTTAACTCTTTCAGTGTCTCCCGTCTGCCCTAACAAAAACAGATTCGCATTCTTTGTAATAAACAGCAGGTATGATGCTAAAGTGTATCTAAATCTCAAAAACAAAAATGTAATATATTACAGCTTACCTGTCTTTAGATATCGTCTTGGCGAGGCATTCAAATGGCTGTAGATCGCTTATATAATTTCTTGGGTTTTTTCAGGGGGATTCAATGATCCCCTTAAATTAACATTAAATCCTCAGTGTTTTTTACCTTAGAACATTGAGCACAAGAGATAACTATTTGTTAAAATTCTTACCCCAGCACTTGCAACTCACAACTTTCAATGCTGTTGCTATCTCAGTTCTTCTTCCTTGATGTTCGGGTCTTCATTGGACAGTGCAGTCACCAGCCAGTCTGTTAGCTTGGAGAAGGGAGGAGGAGGGAAGAGTAGGGCAGTGCCCTACCATCCTAGGCTACAGGGCTATGTGTTTTCATTCACACACACAGTGTAGGGAAACACAACTGTAGTCCAGTCAGTGCCCAGCAGTGCCGTCAGTCAGTGCCCAGCAGTGCCACCTATCAGTGCCAACTATCATGCCCATCATCAGTGCCGCCTCATCAGTGCTAGCTCATCAGTGCCGCCTATCAGTGTTCATCAGTGCCGCCTATCAGTGCAGCCTCATCAATGCACATCAGTGAAGGAGAAAAATTACCTGTTTGCAAAATTTTTTAATAGAAACAAAAACTTTCTTAAAATTTTTTTTGCTCTTTTTTTGTTTATAGCACAAAAAATAAAACACCCAGCGGCAAGTAAATACCACCAAAAGAAAGCTCTATTTGTGTGAAAAAAATTATAAAACTTTCATATGGGTACAATGTTGCATGACCGCGTAATTGTCATTCAAAGTGCGACAGCGCTGAAAGCTGAAACTTGGCCTGGTCAGGAAGGGGGTATGAGTGCCCGACAGGCAAGTGGTTAAACTGGAACATAGGTGACGGTTAAAAGATAAAGAATCTGCATACTTAGTAAGTAATTAAATCAGCTACTGAAAGAAAGGGAAGGTTTAATATCACTTTCAGAAGCCGACTGGCGGTAGCCTCTAGCGATCCACAGGCTGGAATTCCTCAAGGTGCGGAGTCTAAGCCTCAGTCTGCTGGTTCACCAGAGCCCCTGATGGTGGGGATGGACTTGAAGCAGCCTGAGACCAGGTTGCGACCCCTGAGTACAACCAGCCGTGGTAGAGGCAGCCGCCAATGGCAGGTGGCAGGTGACACCCAGATGTGAAGAGGTAGTAGCGTAGTCAGACAGGCCGGGTCGGTAACAGCGGGGGCAGACGGTACAGAGCGGCAGGCAAAGGATAAATGAGTCACAGGCCGGGTTCAGCAACAGGAGGTCAGGTAATTAGGATCAGGCAGAGAATAGTCAGGAGAGCCAAAGGTCAGAGCAGGAGAAGAACAGGATCAGAATCAGGCTGGGTCGGCAACAAGTCAATCAATATACAGGAACGAGTAGGAACACAGGAACAAGACCATATGGTAACTTGGTGATGCACAGGGCTGGTTTAAATAGTGCGCCCTGCTCTCTCATTGGTGCCAGGTGCACGTCCGCGATCGCAAGTGCGCATGCGCGGCCGCCGCTGTTGCTGCGATTGCCTAAGCCCTAATGCGCATCGGCGTTCTGTGCATGCGCAGACCCGCGCGCTGCCGCGATCCCTGACAATCACTTTAAAAGGTATCTAAAGCCAAAACAACCTTTGTTACAGTTTTGAGTTGAGTATAGAGGGATTAGAACCCCTGCCAGTTATTGCAATACTAAAATCCATCCAGCACCTTCACCTTTCACACCTTTAGAAGGGAGCATGGCCAATGGAGACCATGTGTTGATCCAAAAGTAAAGATATGGCCGGCATTCAGGCGATTGGTTGCCAGAGGTTACAGCACATAATTACCGCTCACTGATAGGTTGCTGTTGGTAACTGTTTATCTTTACCACTTATTGGTTGCTAGAGGTTAACATGGCAATTTCTTTATGGAGGGGCCTCTGGACTGATGGTAGCAGCCTCCCTATGGAGTGGCCTCTGGAATGGAGGTTGCAATCACCCTATGGAGGGGCCCCTGGACTGGAGGTGGCAATTTATCCATTGAGAGTCTTCTGGACTGGAGGTAGCAGTCTCCCTTATGGAGGGGCCCCTGTTCTGGAGGTTTAAATCTCTCTATGGAGGGGCCCTGGACTGGAGGTGGCAATCTCTCTTTGGAGGCGCTCCTGGATCTCATCTGAACCAAGTTGATCGCGGTCCAGCTCTACCCCCTTCCTCCACAGCAGGCAGGTGTCAGTTAGACCTGTCAGTGTGGGCACAAGGCGGCATGGACACTTTTCATGTGGTGAAGAGAATGGACCCGTGACAGTGGGGGGGGGGGGGAAGGGGGTATTAGGAAATGGACAATCCCAGACTCTCAGCACACGCTGGCACAGCACACAGCAGTGGTAGCGCCCCATGGAAGTGAAGCTGTGAAACAACGATTGGGGCACTGGCAGCTGCCCCTTAGGCCCCCACCTAAAGACAGTCCTGCCAAGTGCTAAACCCCTTCATAAAATCACAAATCCAAGCTCAAAGATTGCTTACTGACTGAGTGCAAAGTGTGGGAGAGGATGTGTGTTACCTGGTTGTGCAAAGCTTTAGGGGGACCCAAAACTCTGCAACTCCTAAGAGGGTAGTGCTAAAGTAGGTCTCCCACTTATAAGGGTCTTAATAGAAGTGTCTGGAGAACGGAACCAGTAGCCAAAATCCTCCAAAGTGTGTAGTGGGGAGTGGCTAAGATGCAAATATTTTAGCTCCCCGCAGATCTCGCTTTCAGCTGCATAAGCTTGACCCTATGTCTGTCCCCTCCTCATGGAAATAGTAGTCATGGAACCTGATCTTCTGCTACACATACACGATTAGAGAGGTCTGGGATGGTTAAAAGAATTCTAAGGTCACAGCATACACTTTCATTTTATAACATATGCATTGTAATAACAAAACAAAACAATAGACTTCAACAAAATGGTGGCTGTCCACACACAAACACCGACTCCCTATTGCATAAATGTAATGACATGGGTAAAAGATGGCTTCAGCTCCTGTTCTCCACCTATAGAGAACTCCTCAGACGGGTTTCACCGTTTTCAGAGTAATCGTAGAGACCTCTGTGATTAAGCTCCGAATGGGGAGAAACACATCTGAAGAGTTCTCTACAGGTGGGAAACAAGAGTTGAAGCCATCTTTTACCCATTTCATTACATTTATGCAACAGGGAGTTGTGGCTGTGTGAATTATTTTTGTCAGTCTTGCACCAGTATTTTACAGGGGAAACGGACTGACTAACTCATGGGGCTGACAACCGGGCAATAGGGGATCATGGGGCCCCCGTGTCCTCACCCATACCCAAAAAAGCCAATGAAAGGTACCAGGGACATCTCATGGGGCCCCCTACTGACCCCGAGCCCTCGGGCAGTGCCGATTGCTCGAATGGTCAGTCCGCCCCTGGTCCAGTATAAACTTATTTGAAACATCTCCTTTCATGCTGTGAGAAAATTTTTTTAAAAATCGTGTTTTTTCTTAGTGTCTGTTCTAAAGTTTTGCAAATAAGTAATTTGTCTTCATAAATTTTAATACAAATTTAGATTGCTACATGTTTTGGTAAAAATAACCCAAATCAGTGTATTATTTGGTCTGTTGGAACGTTATAGAGTCTACAAGCTATGGTACTACACTTCATGTACTGGTGGCTTATCTCATTTCTTGAGGCCCTAACAAGCCAGGTTATATCTCACACACAGCATTCGCATACTTGCAACTACACCCAAAACACATTCTGCTACTCCTCTTGAGTATGGTGATACCACATGTGTGAGACTTTTTCACAGCCTAGCCACAGGTCCAACATCCAAGGACAACCTTCAGGTATTATTCGCTTTAACCACTTGCCCTTCAAAGGTATAACCTCCCCCCCCCCATTCCTGAACAGGCCATTTTTTGCATTACGACGCTGTGTTATTTTAACTGACAATAGCGCTGTCATGCAACGCAATTGAAATTTACCTCTTTTTTTCCCACTAATTGAGCTTTCTTTCGGTGGTATTTGATCGCCTGTGCGTTTTTATTTTTTGCGCTATAAAAAAAACCCCCACAATTTTGAGAAAAAAACTATATTTTTTTACTTTTTGCTATTAAACATGTCCAGTAAAAAATATAAAAAAATCACATTTTGTCATAAATTTAAGCCAAAATGTATTCTGCTATCTAGAGCAGTGTGCCCGAGCCAACAAGGAGGAGGACTGTTAGTAAACAAAGCAGCCCTCCTCCCCATCAGAGATCCTCGGTAATCACCTGCCGCCGGTGGGTAATCACTGGCCGGGACCCGGTGATTGACAGCGAACCCGGAAATACAAAATCACATATATATATACGTGATTTTGCGCACCCCTGCCGCCCTGTAGCAGTATATCTGCTATAAGGTGGCGGGGATGTGGGGATGTGGTTAAGACCAAGCCACCTTCTGACACTTTTTGTTTACAAATAAAAATCAGTATTTTGCTAGAACTTAGAACCCCCAAACATATTTTTAGCAGAGGCCCTACAGAATAAAAAGGTTGGATTTTGCAAATGTTTATGTCACCTGGCATTTGCGCAGAATTTTTTCTAATGCAATTTTCCACACTAACAAAAAATACACTTTAATATATTTTAATGCACACAAACACAATATAATACCCATTTTTGGTAAAATATAAAATATGGTGTTGGGGAGTAAATAGATACCAAACATGTCACGGTTTTAAAATTGCGCACGGTTTGAAATGGCGTCAAACTTCGGTATTTAAAAATTTCCATAGGCAATTTAGAGTTACAGAGGAGGCCTGCTGGAATTATTGCTCTCGTTCTGACATTCGTG